AAACAATTTTCGATTCCCACCAGGATTCATCTTTGTATTTAGATAGAAATTGTGATAAAAGTTACACCTTTTCTACATCTGCAAACTCCTTTGCTTTACTTGCGTTCGAACGAATTTGATTTGTCAACCATAGTTGTCCAATTGTCCAGTCTGCAACAGTAATCCACACAGAGAATAGATTGCAGCTACCAGTGTTCTCTCCTCTTGTGCTAGCAAGAAATTATGAGAAAACTATATGAATTTAAAACACTAGCCATGTATTTATATAAGCCCAAACGAGCCTGGCGTGGCCTGGTCCGATCCAATATTTAATTAATCTATTTAATTAAATTCGGTCCGTGAATTAATTAATCCAATTAATTAATTCGGGCCATAAATAACCAATCCAATTATTTAATTAATTTATCCAACGATTGTTAAATTAATTAATTGACGAATTGCAATCTTCCAATTCTCTTTTGTGTGCGACCCATCAAGTTCCGGATCACGATACTTAACGACGTGAAATATTATTTTGATCTAATCAAAATTGATAAGTTTAAACATCCTTTTAATTTATCACCAATTCACACTCGCCGTCCTAAATTAACATCTAACAATATGTCAGGCAATACATATGACGGGGAATGCCATGTGGTATGACAAAACCAAACTCGTTCGTTTACCGTGAAACTATAATCCCTTCATCAATATGATCCGATCAATTACGAGATATGAAAGTGTGTCAATCCCGAATATCGATCATATCTTTCACTCAACCATTAAGTCAATATAAGTCGAAAACTCTTTTTCGACTTATGAGTACACCTTGGCCAAGGATTTCGTTATCGACTTAATTGAATGAAACGCAGATAATAATCTCCTACTATCTAAGAGTGACGAATCCTTTATTGGTCATTCACAACCTTCATACGATTTTTGACATACCCGAACGATGCCGTATTAGCGGCCCTTGGCAGAACAACATTCAACACCGTTAAAGCATGACTGTCCTCATATAAGATACTATGACGACCTCAAGTCAAAGGACCAATCCCACTATCGAACATTAAAAATTAACCACTGACACTCAGATAGTTATCCATGTGGAATCTCTCGGTGGGTCTCTAATGTTTTATTCTATAACAAAATATCCACGTGTTCATTTAAGTGTCACCACATCCAACACCGTCAAAGCATGACTGTCCTCATATAAGATACTATGACGACCTCAAGTCAAATGACCAATCCCATTACCGAACATTAGAAATTAACCACTGACACTCAGATAGTTATTCAAGTGAAATCTCTCGGTGGTTCTCCAATGTTTTGTTCTATAACAAAACATTCACGTATTAATTTAAGTGTCACAACACTTTAGCTTGTGAGATCAGCTACTTACTTCACAAGTAAGAAATGCCTCATGTGATGATCTATCTGTAATAACGATATCCGTATTTCATTATTATTTATGACCACGGACGATTTAAGATTCAATCATCTATAATTTGTATCTCACAATCACAACTCCTTGTGATTAACAAATTACGAAGATTTGAATCGACAGACTCTATTATTTATTTAATTGTCTATTAATTAAATAATAGATCTGTCATTAAATTGCATTAATTATATATCAAAAGTATTTATGTCTAAGGTTGATTGGACCTATGACATAACACTTACAATAACAATTTAAGACATGGACCATAGTAGAGTGAGAATTCAGAGGGTACCTTAATCTTCCTATCCCACCACTCATCTTCAACCCGATTTCGATTCAAATTGTTAAATCCATATTCTATCCTCGTGCAGTGATAAACTCGTGGAGTTGCTTGTTCTCTGTTCGCATCAGTCTTCAATAGTATTTTAACTTGATTTCAGTAATTTCCAACATTTTTGTTGAGCAATGCAGTTAAGTCTCTCCTAACCTTGTCGCTTTAAGCATTTCCCATTCTGATGTCATTTTTCCATGACAAGTTCACATGCAATCAAAGAAATTAAATGTTCTCTATCAACTTACTTTGTAGATCTACAAATAAATTGTTTGGGATGATTTGCACTGGAAGTGTTTCCATTAAGGTATAGTGGATTTGTCGATGTATGTCTATAAAAGTATGTTGAAGGAAAACCAAAATCTTCGACTAAGACTACTTTCGCTCGGCTCAATGCAGTAAATAAAATCATCTTACCGTTTTGTATGAGTAACTCCAATTGGTGGGTGGGTAGTCAAAATCGAATTTTTGAAAGGAAAATGCTAAATGTAAAGCACTTTTATACATCAAATTTTGTAGCCTTCTCACATGGAGGCTATAGGGCCCGCTATTAAAATAATCGTAGAATCCACCTATGTGAGATGACTGAATAAAGTGTTGTACATGTAACACTTCTCTTTTTGATATTTGTATGATATATTACTTGTACATAAAAATGGTACATAATGGATTAAATAAAATAATGTGGAAGGAAAAAATAGGATGAAAAAATTATTAGTGTTTTAAATTGACAAATGATACGGTGAAATGTGGCATTATATAATCCATTATATAAAACTTGATGTACATGTAACAATATCCTATTTGTAATTGCAGCAGCAATATTTTATGGTTTAATTACCATTGAAAAAATTTGAAAGCTCATGAAAATTAGATTTTTATAGATCAAAAATAGTCTTACTTAGCTAAGAATCTTTGTAAGTAATATTACATTTAGATATGTTCTATAAATCAAAATTGTAATTCATATCATATTTGAACATAAAAAGAAGCAGATATACATGGTCCAAAATGAATAGATTTCTTCGAATATGCAACAACTTTGTTAAATTGTGAAGTATTCCCCATACGTCCAACTTTATAAAGTTGAATGTTCCTCTCTATCTAATCTCATTTCCTTAAAATTTGAAGGGAGACATTTTTCAATGAAGGACATCGCAATTTTAAACAGAAATGGACACTTTTTTTTTTTTTTTGTTTAGAGTCATGTTACTCCGATTTAAAAAGTAAAGGGCTAACTTGATATTATTACATTAGATTAGGGACTAATATTGGAGAGACATTTTTCAATAAAGGTCATCACAATTTTACACAGAAGTGGACACTTTATTTTTGTTTAGAGTCATGTTGCTCCAATTAAAAAAGTAAAGTGCTAACTTGATATTATTACAATCGATCGGGGACCAATATTGAAATTCCCCCCTAACTTGATATTATTACCATAGCTTAGGGACCAATATTGAAAATTTTCCCCTCTATAGTTAATCTCTTCCTCATCACATGGAAGTTGCTATAGTGGAGTGTTTCAAGGTTAAACGATCGTTTAATTTCTTGCAATACATCCACTAAATTAAAATTCTTCTTCTCTCGAACCAAGACCGACCTAGAGATTTTGGGAGCCTTAGACCAATTTCAAATTGAAACTCTATATATATGTGTGTGTAAAAATACATGTAAAATAAAAAGATAATAATATCTTTGGAGCCCTCACCGAAGTGGGGCCTTAGGCAATCGCCTACCCCGCCTATAGTTAGGGCCAGCACCGTTTCGAATTCATTTTGACCCACAAATTTGCATAATAAATATTTTATATTTAAATTTAAAATTTTTTCTTACATTTAAAGTATACATTCTCGAAAAAAATTTATTAATGCAAAACTTATTTTTCCAAAACACTCATTTTAAAGGACGTCAAACAGTTATATCAAAAACCTATTATGAGGCAGCAATCTTACAACCACATAGGAGGAGGCGTGCCTGGTACCTTTTTGTTATTGCTACCCTTTCTTTTTTCGTCTCTTCAATCATCTGGGCAGTGCCTCGCCCTTCATTCTCTCAGTAATTTGTTGAGTCTATTTGTAAATATTTCTTGTGAAAATATTGATGCTTTATCTGTCCATTTTAGGTTCCATTTTTTCCTTTGATATCTGGGGTTTGGGGTTTCAGAAGAAGAAAGCGGGAAAAAAGAAACTTTATTTTTTAATGAACTTGTGTAAATTCTTAAACTATGAAGACAATTTCATAGAAAAGGTATGATATTTAGAGTGTTCATGTCATCGTCTTTAGCATTTTGTTTAGGGACTTTGTGTGTGTTGAGTATATGTTATTTTATTTTAAGTTGTGGAGTTATAATTGTGGGAATTTTGGTTTTGCAAATTGGAATTTATACTGTAAATAAACTTGCAGGAAAAAAATAATGGAATTCTGTACTGTGATTTTTAGTTGGCGTAGCTGAATGTTGAAAGGAGGAGATTTTTAGGATTTCCTTATAGTTTGGAAAGTAGGGTTTACATATTTAGGATTTCCACAATGAATACTGTGCTGTGGTTTTTGTTTCTGAATGTGGAAAGAAGATTTTCGAGATTCTTTCCCAGTTTTGCACGTAGGAAAGTATAAGAACTTACCTGATTTAGATTTTGTAAAATAAGGATAATCTAGTGACCTGGATACTACCATAGATTTGTGAAGTGAACTATGGGAATAATTTCCCAGAGAAAGGGATGATCTTTAGGGGGACATTAGTATTTTAATTATATTTTTGAAATTGTCTTATACATAGCTGCTTTTTATTTTTTTTTTATTTTTTTTATATATATATATCTCTTAAATAAACAATGTTTGAGAAGAAAGTGCCATTAGTGGCTCCTTGCTTCTACCGAAAAAACAGATAATTCAGTTCAATCTCTGAAATTTCTAATCTGATCTTAAACAAATAGTGATTTTTAGCCATAATCGATACGCATTTTTAAAATTCAATTTTACTTGAATAATTTATAATCACAAAAGTAATACCACATATTTTAGTAAGAACGATGGTCGATAAAACCGTCAATATCTTATTGACCCCACAAAATCCAGTTCTACCTACCTCATAGGGAATAGTGACACATCCCGTCCTAAGACTTAAGACGTGACGTGAGCCGATGATAAGTGCCAGCTAGGCACTGGACCCATCACCAAGGCAAAAGTAGCTAAACTTTAATAATAAAGCTTCATTTGACCAATTAAAATCTTTCTAAACTCCAATAAAATACCAACATAATACTATCATTTGCTCGTTTAACCAAAAACATCCATAACATATACGTCAAAACTGCCTCTCAAAAGGATAATAGGAAGCAGTTTAGATTACAATATTACATCATGATCATTGGTGTATATAAATACCAAAATAATTTTCCTCCAATATGATGTAAATATTTTACTTGATGATTACACAATTTCAAACAAAAGAACCTACAATTGGTGTTAGCAATGGCTGCAAAACTATCAAAATAATCTCCACCACCGCTCAGTCAACAGCCTCCTATAAGGAAAAGTTCAGGAAAATATGAGATAATAATCCCAGTGAGTGAAGTGCTTAAAAGATGGTTGTACTGTCCTTTGTGTGTGTGTGTGTGTGTGTGTGTATATATATATAAGGAGATGAGTAAGTACATCAGACAATTCAATAATTAAAAACCATAATCTAAACTCCACAAGCTGAACTATAAGCGGGAAAAATGTAAGCTGAAGACTAATAATCCACTATATAATTAAAATTCACATCAAAATATATATATCCCACGTAAACATCTACTAATGATCTGAAAGCCATAAATCATATGTACATAAACCGTCTGATCAATATTCTGTACACAGCCATAGCCCCTCAGTGTACAAGATGGGAATAACATAATCATCATTATACACGACTGTAGCCCCTCAGTGTATAATGGATAACTTTACCCACGGTCGTAGCCCCTCAGTGGATAAGAGTTACCCTTACACACGGCTGTAACCCCTCAATATATAATGGATAACTTTACTTACGGCCGTAGCCCCTCAGTGGATAAGAGTTAAATACATGACTCTAATAAACGGCTGTAGCCCCTCAGTGCATTAGCGTAAGATAATCACATCAATTATTTTATGATAATTCCAAAACAATCATACTCATTTACTATTTCTCGAAAATAAAGCATTCCATTTAATTAACATGCTTCTATAAAATAAAAAGAAAATTTTCTTTTTGAAAATATAGATTCTTCACTCACAAGTATAGGCTGGACTAACGGGGCTGGTATGCTGTTCCCACGTCCAAATCCCCTCCTGAAAACGATCATAAATATAAGCTACTTTAATTCCATTCATATACAATTACAACGGATTTCTCAATAATAACTCTTTCTTATCATCAAAATAAAATAAATATATATATCCCTCAATAAGCTGAGACTTAATATTTATCTTTTTATTTGGTTACTTAAACATACATTCACTTAATTTCGAATCACTCTACATCCCTCACTCTTTAATACTAACCTTTTCCGGCTGCCCCGTAAAGATTCAATAAGTTTTTTATGATAATAATCATTCACATTCCTTATTTAAATTCTCTTTTAACTAAATACATAAATCTTATCAAAAGCTCCTTTCTTATATTTTTCATATTCATCCAAAGTGAGAATTCAAGCATAAGATAAGTTATTTTCAACTAATCTAACTTAATAATACCATAAAACAATCACAAGTGAAAATAACAAAAATTCATATATTTCCCCAAATTTTCGGATTTAGCCATATATGACAAAACCCTAATATCTAAATATCATTTTTTCCAATCTACTAGAATAACTAGCTCCAAATACTCAAATATTTAGATTTCTTATCATATTTTTCAAGTATAAGCTATAAATTTAAAACCCTAAACAAAATTTACAAAAACTAAATCAATAATTATGAACCTTACCTCTTGAAGAATTAAATAAACAAGATTGAAGTAGTTGGCACAAGATTTCTTCTTTCTTCTTTCTTTTTCTTCCTTTCTTTTTCTTTTCTTCCCTTTCTTCTCTTCTCTGCGTTTCCTCCCGTTCAACACACTTTAGTGTGTGATTTTTGTGGAAAAGAATGGTCAAAGTTTGAATATAAATGCCACTTGTTTAAAATTGCTAAGGAAGGTCCCTATTCTTTAATAGAATATAACTTTTAAATTCTAAACTTCCAAATATATATAAGTAAATTCTCAACTTTAAATTGTAGCCAATTTAACCCTCATATATGGCTAATTATAAAATAAACCCCAATAAAATATTTAATTTCATTTTAGTCCTTAATTGACTTTGACTTTGACTAGTCAACATTTGAATTTTGACTAGAAGATTTGGGTTGTAACAAATAGTGCATCTCGTATCAATTACAAGCAGAGTGAATCTGCTTTGCGGTCGACTCTTTGGATCTGTTATCGTTCTTCGCTTAGTTATCAGTTTTCTATACATAAATCCATATGTTCTGTAAGAAGCAAACAAACAGACTCAAAGGGGAAAAGATATTTGGAGCATCCATCAATAATTATAAGCTTAGATCTTTTTTTCAGCTAAAGTTTGGTAGCCTGTTAGATAATAGTTTAAGCCGAAAAACCAAGAGAAAAGACGAGAAAAAACCAATGTTCATTGATGAAAGGATGACCCTCCATTTAAAATGATTTTTATGACTAAAATCACGAAAACAAAAAGAAAACAGGAATGAACAAGATACCTCGTACAAATGTCCATGAAAATTTAACAAATTTGGAAATAATTTTGAAGAAGTTGAGAACCTTATTAAGTTTTGCACACTCCACATTAGCTTCATGGAGCAAAAGCAAAAGCAAAAGCAAATGACTATAGTATAATAAATAAGATTTTAACTTGATATTATCGAACACTATACCCCATTCATTCAGCATTGCCAAGCTTTCCTTAAGTTGTAAAGCTAGGAACCCTTTTATTGTAGCTATTGTTGAGTAGTAAACTTGATTTTTGGACTAAATAATATGGGTTTAAGGATTTTGCTTATAGGCCCAAATCAATTAAAAGGCCCAACATGCATAGCATTTCTAAAAGCATTATCTAGAAAAATCTATATAAATATCTAAGTAAGATATGTAGTTTTATAAAGAATATCTAGAGAATTCTAGGAAAATATCTTGATATGTGGTCTAGGTATCTCTAGAAAATGTGTGGACTAGAATCTTCTTGTAAACACTATATAAAGAGGTAGTGCCCTCCATTTTGTAACAAGCCAAAAAGTGTGTAAAGTCTTGAATTTGAGAAATACAAGTTTACTCTTTTTTCACTTCCTTCTTCCTATTAGTGTTGTCCTCTTAAAAGCCTTAGTCAATCCAAGTTAGTAAACTCATCTTTCATCCAACAAACTGGTATCAGAGCCCCAAGGTTCTTGTGAAAAATGGCAAGTGGGATGATTCCTTTTCAAGTCCCCCAACTCAACAAGGATAACTACGACAATTGGAGTATAAGGATGAAATCATTGCTCGGGTCGCAAGATGCATGGGAGATTGTAGAGAAAGGCTACACGGAGCCACAAGACGAGGTTGCTCTATCCCAAGCACAAAGGGATAGTTTGAAGGATGCAAGGAAGAAGGACAAGAAGGCGCTCACCCTCATCTATCAAGCCTTAGATGAAGGCATGTTCGAGAAAGTAGCTTGTGCTACTACAAGTAAGGAAGCATGGGAGATCTTGCAAAACTCCCACAAAGGAGTTGAGAAGGTGAAAAATGTTCGACTTCAAACACTTCGAGGTGAGTTTGAAGCTTTACATATGAAAGAATCGGAATCAATTTCTGATTACTTCTCTAGAGTATTAGCTATTGTGAATCAATTAAAAAGGAATGGAGAAAAGTTGAACGACACTCGAGTAATTGAGAAGATACTTAGGTCTTTAGATTCTAAATTTGACTACATAGTTGTAGCCATTGAGGAATCTAAAGATCTAGATAGTATGAGTGTCGATCAACTCATGGGATCTTTACAAGCCCATGAGGAAAGACTAAGGAAGAAAGTGAAAAAAGAGTCATTAGAGCAAGCTCTTCAAACAAAGCTCACTTTGAACGAGGGTGAAGGAAGGTTCAATAGTAGAAGAAGCCAAAGAGGAAGAGGACGAGGCCAAGATCGAGGAAGAATTGCATTCTACAAGGAGGAAAGAAGACAAAGTTCATTTTCTACTAGAGGTCGCGCAAGAGGAAAAGGTACGAGGAAAAATGAAGGACCAAGGTATGACAAATCTCAAATTAAATGTTACAATTGTCAAAAACTTGATCATTATGCTTCAGAATGTAGAAATATTACTAACCAAGTTGAGGAGAAAGCCAACTACGCTTGTCAGGAAAGTAAAGTAGATCCTGCACTACTATTGGCTTACAAAGGTGAAGAGGGCAGAGAAAAGAATACTTGGTATTTGGATACAGGAGCAAGCAATCATATGTGTGGAAGAAAAAACATGTTTGTGGAGCTTGATGAATCAGTAAGCGGTAACATTACCTTTGGAGATGAATCCAAGATCCCAGTGAAAGGAAAAGGTAAAATCTTGATCTGCTTAAAAAATGGTACGCATCAGTTTATCTCAAATGTCTATTATGTGCCCAATATGAAGAATAACATTTTAAGTTTGGGACAACTCTTAGAGAAGGGCTATGATATTCATTTGAAGGATCATAGTCTTTCAATAAGAGATCAAAGAGAAAATTTGATTGCCAAAGACCCTATGACAAGAAATAGAATGTTTGCGTTAAGCGTTCAAAATGATGTCGCTAAATGCTTAAAAGCTTGTTTTAAAGATTCATCTTGGCTTTGACACTTGAGATTTGGGCATCTTAATTTTGGAGGCTTAAAGTTGTTGAGTAAAAAGAAAATGGTGAAAGGTTTGCCTCCAATAAATCATGCGGATCAATTATGTGAAGGATGCTTACTTGGAAAGCATTCGAGAAAAAGTTTTCCAAAAGAAGAATCTACAAGAGCTAAGAAGCCGCTAGAACTTGTACACTCCGATGTTTGTGGGCCAATTAATCCAAGCTCTCTCGGTAAGAGCAATTATTTTGTTCTTTTTATTGATGATTTTAGTAGAAAGACTTGGGTCTATTTTCTTAAACAAAAATTGGAAGTTTTTGAAACTTTTAAGAAGTTTAAA